TCTCTCTCTCTCTCTCTCTCTCTCTCTCTCTCTCTCTCTCTCTCTCTCTGTGTGTGTGTGTGTGTAGGGGATGAGTAGTAGCTAGACTGTATCCAAGACTGGCCTGAGTCCAAGGCTCTGTAGAGCATGAGGTGGAGAGGAACCTGAGGGGCTCCTGGGGCAGACTGAGGAGCAGTCAGCTTTCACAGCCAAGAACTCTAAGGCTGTTCAGTTCACAGGTATTTGCCCTGTCCCGCTCACCCCTGTTTTCCAATTGCCAGGGCAAAAATATTTACTGAGCATCTAGTATGTGTAGGCACTTTTATATGCTGTGGGTTTTTTTGTTTTGTTTTGTTTTATTTTGTTTTTTTTGTTTGCCAGGCTTAGACACATACAAAACACCTTACCTTCTCAGGGCTTGTACCCACTGAGGTTTTTAGTGGCACGTCCTTGCCAGACCTGGGGATATGTGTGTGTGAGTTGGTACTGGTGCCTTGGTTCATATACTAGGGGGCATCCCCCTGAAGTCTCCAGGCAGCTAGGGTGTCCTCTGCAGAGAGAGGAAGGTGGCTTTCAAGGATTTAGCATTCACATCTTTTTTTGAGCATGAGAGCAGGCAAGCACTGAGCAAGGACGATGTTCTTCTCTTCCAGGCTCTGATCTGCTCCTTGTATTTCCCCTTATACTGTGGGATAATCCCCCCAGCGTTCAGAGGGGAGGTGAGTTTTTTGTGAGGGCCCCTGTCTCCCTGACTCCAGGCAGCTAGGATAAGGGCTTGTTCAGAGGTGGAGTTGGGAATAAGGAGGCTACCTGACAGTAAAGAACCTACTGTGTGCCAAGCCTTCCCCCCTAGAAGAAGCTAGAGAGGCTCAGAAGCTAGGCTGGAGGATGACATGGACACCCATCAATATGGGGAGGAGGGGTGGAAGATGTCGTGGGCTAATGCCTCCCTGCCTTCCAGCGCTTCATCGATGGGGCTCTGAGCAACAACCTGCCCTTCTCCGATTGCCCCGCCACCATCACAGTCTCTCCTTACAACGGGACAGTGGACATCTGTCCCCAGAGTACCTCACACAGTCTTTTTGAGCTAACCGCCTTCAATGCCAGTTTCCAGATATCTACCAATAACTTCTTTCTGGGAGTCATATCCCTGTTCCCCCCCAAACCTGAGGTAGGTCACCCTGCATGGTCCTGGCCTATGACCCATCAGCTTCAGTTACTGCCCTGCCTCAAGTCACACAAGGCCTGGAGCAGAAACCTGAGTTCATGTGGGTTCTGACACTCCTTCTGTCCATTCCTGGTTGAGGGCTAATGTCCAGCTGTGGCCCATACTCAACTGGCAGGCTCTGTGAACAGAGACAGTTAATTCCATTCCTTTTTATAGATTTACTTTTATTCATGCATGTGCGTGTGTGTGCATGTGTGTGTTTGTGCATGTGAATGCAATTCTTACAGAGACCAGAAGAGGACATTGGACCCCTGGAACTGGAATTGGCAGTTGCGAGCCACCCAACATGGGTACAGGGAGTTGAACTGTGCTCTTCCGCAGGGGCAGCCAGCACTTTCCATTGCTGAGCAATCTCTTCAACATCTCATCGTTTTTTCTTTTTTGAGACAGAATCTTACTATGTAGCCCTGGCTGGTCTGGAACTCATCATGTAGTCCAGGCTAGATCTCAAACTCACCGAGATCTGCCTGTCTCTGTTTCCTGAGTGCTCATGAAAGTTGTGTGCCACAATGGCCTCCAGCCTCTAGGAAGTTTCACTTCTCAGGAGACACAGGCTCAGGCAGGTTAAGTAACTACTTATTCAGTCACAGAGCCCAGAAGTGGCAGCGCTAAGATTTACTCTGTTAGGCCAGCATGGTCTTGACAGTGAACTCCCAAGACTTTAGCCAGCACGCACGCATGTGCGCGTACACACACACACACACACACACACACACACACACACACACACACAGAGAGAGAGAGAGAGAGAGAGAGAGAGAGAGAGAGAGAGAGAGAGA